GACGTAAAGACGTATACGTACGTAGGCAGAACTACATCACTAGCCAGGCCCACTTTTGGGCATGGCTAGGGGGCGTTACGGGGAAAGGCATAAAAGACAGCACACAGGAAGTCTCGGTCTCTTTTTCCTGGAGTTCGGCTTCTGGTTCGGCAGCAGAAAACTGCTTGGCTCATCTGGGTTACTTGTTTGGTATCTTGTGAGTAATTTCTTTTTTTTTTTTTTAAAGATTTATTTATTTATTACATATACACCAGATTGAATTGTAGATGGTTGTGAGCCACCATGTGGTTGCTTGGAATTGAACTCAAGACCTCTGGAAGAGCAGTCAGTGTTCTTAACCTCTAAGCCATCTCTCCAGCCCCCTCTTGTGAGTAATTTCTACAATAAATACTTAGTTTTACTTTCAGTAATTGTGTGTCGCTTATCGTTACAGCGTCAATTGGAGCTACAGAACACCATGACCAAGGCAACTTATAGAAGGAAGGTGTTATTTGAACTTATGGTTCCAGAAAGATAAGAGTCCACCATGGCAGGGAATCCTGGCACGGCAGCATGACAGCTGAGTTCACATCTTCAAACCACAGGCCAGAAACACAGAGCACACTTGAAATGGCTCAAGACTTTCAGTTCACAAAGCCCATGCCCATGATATCCCTCTTCCTGCAAGGTCCCACTTCCTAAGCCTCCAGGACATTTAAGGCAAAAGGGCTCCTCCCCACGCTGCCTTTGGTCATGGTCGTATATCACGGCGATGGAAACCCAAACTATGACAGGCCTAGTTTGCTAATACTGCTTCCCTTGGAAACTACTTGAGCTGGGCTTCCAAAGTTCACATTGCCCTCCTCACTGTCTTCCAAGTGTCTATTAGGATGGCCCGTTAGGCTCTGCCTACAGAGTTCAACCACTTTTCAGTGCCAAGGGCCAAAGCCTTCCACATTTCTGAAACAAACACACAAAGCCCAGCATGGCTAGTCTTTCACAGCAATAACCCGCTCTCTGGTACCGACTTCTGCTGCTGTAATAAAACACCATGTACATGGTGACTTACAGAAGGGTTTATTTGGCCTACAGTTCCAGATGGCTAAGAGTCTATCATGACAGCAATTGCAGCAGCATGGTGACAGGAACAGCTGAAGGCTCACATCTCAGATCCCAACCAGGGAGCAGAGAGCACAGAGGGTCAACCAAGTCTTTAAACCCTTAAAACTTGCCCCTAGTGACATACCACCTCCAGCAAGGCCACGTCTCCTAAGCTCCTTAAACAGTGCTTCCAAGGGGACCAAGTACTTACATCCTCGAGACTATAGAGGCCACGTCATTCAAGCCCCCAGTGTGTTCTTATGCACTTGCCTGTGTGCGTGGAGGCCAGAAGTCCTTATTCCTTATTTGTTGAGAGAGGGTTTGCCAGTGAACACAGTTTGCCATTTCAGCTAGACTGGCAGGGCAGCGAGCCGCAGGGATGCCCTTGTTTACACCCTCCCAGTGTTGGAGGTGCATACGCCACGACACCGGCTAAGTGGTTCCTGGTAATTCTAACCAGGCCCTCAAGCTTGGGCCGAGAGTTCTTTTCCCACTGGGCCACCTCCCCACTTAGTGCACAGCCCTTTCTGCAGCACGCTCCCCTTTAATCTTCACCACAGTACGAGGCAGGTGTCACCAAAAAGCACCCCATTTTGCAAGGCCCAGGCAGAAGTTTGGGGAACAAGGTTCCAGCAGGGTCCATTTGTGTTCTGGAATTCAGTAATGCTCTGAATGGGTGGCTTCCAGGTATCGTGTGACTTCATAGCCTAGGCCAGGAACTTTTGCTCTGAAGACCCAGCTTGACCTGCAGCCATGCTGAGTTGTCACTGTGGCTTCTAGGTACCCTGGTGGTCCCCCTCCCCCACAGTCATTCAGCATACTACAGATAAGAAACCTCTGAAGGGTATGGAGCTCTGTAACCAGACTTACATCCTGTAGGCATCAGGAATGTGCCTGGTACCCCCGACAGCTGCTTGAGATAAATGAGGTACATTCCAGCTCCATCCTCTGACTTGAGTTTTAGGATCCACTGGTCCAGCTGCTTCTCCAGGCCAGGCTTTTGTGAGCCCAAATAAATCGCACCCTGTCATCCTGGATCTGTCTGCTTTTCTTCAGCCTCTCAGCACTTTCTACCAGTTCTGGCCAGTTCTTTTCCCTAGATTTCCCTGAACAGACCTCTCTGCCTGCTGGTCCTCTGGCTGGCCTGACAGTTCAACCCACCCAACAGAGCTGCCAAGCGGAGGCCCCTTAGAGATCACTGAGTGAAGCCTTATGTGCAGATCTCCCGTGTGTCCCCCTTTGTAGGTCTGTACCCTGAAATAAGACTTCCAGTCAGGAGCAGCTGGGGATGGAGCTCAGCTGGCAGACTGCTTGCTTAGTGTGCATGAGGGTTAGATCCCCGGCAAGATGGTGGATGTCTGTAATCCTAGCACCTGAGCGATGGAAACAGGACTACCAGGAATTCGAGATCACCACAGTGGGCCATACAGTTAGTTCCTGGCTAGCCTTGAACATGAGACCCCGTGTCCAAAACAAACAGAACAAAATAGCCAGTCCCAAATCAAGGAAGTGTTCTCAGGAGAGGGTGGGCTTTTTCAATAAGCTGTATGGTACCCAGAACTAACTCTCTGTCTCTGTCATTTTTTTTTTCAAGACAGGGTCTCTCTATGTAGTCCTGGCTATGTAGACTAGGCTGACCTGAACTGAGAGACCTGCCTGCATCTTTCTGCTAGAATTAAAGCACTAGGCTACCCAGACCAACTACTCAGAGCTCTCAAAGAAACAGCACATAGGGGTTTTGGGAGCAGATGATGGAAATGGAGAGAACATACCATGACAGAGAGTGCATGCTGCACTCCAGGAAGAGAAAACGTGGAACCCAACAGGCAGACCCACAAACACATCCCCAGATCTCTGTGTGTGTTCTCTGCTTTGGGAAGGGATTGCTTTGACACTGACAGCTCCTCCTGTGGGGATTCTGTGGGGCAGCAACTGAGCGGGGTAACTCTGCTGTATGCAGCTCTGCTGCTTCAAAGCAACAAGTAGACATGAACCAGAGAGCAGTGAGCCAATGCCCTGAAGTACATGATGTGGCCGTAAGCTTGGGACAAGTGCCTGTCCCCCTGGAACTGTTTCCTATGTGTATACTGAGGGTCCAGGCCAAGTCACCTTTTTGTTTTTTTTTGGGGGGGTACTCTCATGTAGCCCAGGCTGACCTTATGCAGTAAAGAATGACCTGAACTCCTTATCCTTCTGGCCCTATCTTCCATGTGTTGAGATTGAATGCGCTGACTACCATGGGTTTATGAGGCACTGGGGATGGAATTCTGGGCTTTGTGGTAAGCACTCAGCTGAACTCAGTTCCCAGGCTTGAGGAGCCAGGACAGTTGGTCCTCTCAATCTGTTTCTCCTTAACAACTTGCTAGCCTGGGAGCATAAGCCAGGCAGCTGTCAATCTGACCCAGGACATAAGTCCTCCCTGGGTGAGAGACTCACTCCCCATCTCTGCTCAATCTCAGAATGGTGTTGTGGGACCTCAGCTTAGGGGGATGAATGCTTACTGAGTAGACTACCCTGAGTGGCCTATTGCAGTCAGGACCCATCAGGACCCCTACCGAAACTGACTCAAGATCTGCTCCGTAGCTCCTGAAACTCCTGCAGGCTCTGCTCAGTGTAGGCCACAAGCCCCATCTGGGTTTATTTGGGTGTTTTATAGCTGAGTATCCAGTCCCTTTCCTTTCAGGGAAGCACAGCTGAGCGGGGGTGGGGGGGGCGCCCTCTGACTCCTCATAGCAGCTGGGTAGAGACCTGTCCACACCATCACCCTCTTTGTTCTGTCCATGACCTAGCTTCCTGTGGATATGGAAAACAAGCCAGTTTTCCCATGGGTTGTCCTGCTTAAGTCAGAATGGCTTTTGTTACTTCTTGCATTTTTTAGTTTCCAGCACAGGTGAGGGAGCCCATGTTCTTCCTTCCAGGCATAGCTGAAGGGCCTAGAAAACTCAGCCCTTTCTCCAGGCACAGGAGTGAGGGAGTGATGATGGTCCCACTTTCCCAGAAGCCTTGCTATCTCATGTGGTGTGGTATTTTAGTCCAGCAGAAACCTGCTAAATGACCTGGGCAGCCATGCTGTTCACAGAAAACTGCACCTCAGAAGGGGCCAGGGATCAAGAGGATGAGGCCTACTGTCAGCAAGAGACGTGTGTCACACTGCATGTGTCCTTTCAGAGGACAGTCTTGAGACTCTGGTCACAGATGATTCACTCGAGGCCTTGTGGATAGTGAACAGTACAGGTACAAGTTCCAAGATGTTATCCTGAATTCTTGGACTGATACTGAGGCCTCCCAGGATAGCAAGGGATTATCAACAAGGGTTATTTTTATTTTGAGACCGCGTTGCTATACAGCCTTGAACACTGACTGCCCAGCCCCTCAAGTGCTGGGGTTACAGGCATGCACCATCATGCTCACCCACTAATACATTAAAACAAACTGTGTGTTTTGTGTATATATTCACGTGTGTGAGTACAGGAGATGCATGTGGAGGACAACCTCACATACAGCTCCTGGCCATCCACTTGGAGGCAGGGTCTCTCATCTATCTATGGGCATGCCAGATGAGGGGTCCTTGAGTATCAGGGGATTCTTCTGTCTTTGATTCCATATCACTGCAGCAGCACTGGGATCATAGACATGTGTCACAACAGTTGGTTTTATGTGGACTCTGGGGATCTGAACTCAGGTCCTCATGCATATGAGACAAGTGCTTTACCCACTGAGTCATCTTCCCAGACACCAATGAGAGTGAGCCTTAGCCTTTAGAAACATCTCCACTCCCCATCTCCCACACCCCCATTGACACAAATCCTGAACACAGTATCAGTGAGTCAATTCACTCCGTCTGATTATTATTGATGGTGGCTCTGACTTAACATTTCAGCCAGGGACATGCATGTTCAAGAAAGAGCTTATAAAGCATGGACATTCTAGAAGTTTTATTTGAATGGGTCATGTCTAGAATTCTTGTTCAGTGTACAGACAACTCACAGTTCAGTGTAGTGCTTCTAATACAAACATATATGAATACAGTGCACTTGATACAAAAATAAATTACAGTCTCAAAACTACTGCAGAGTTTAACATGTAGAAAAAGTAAACACAAAATAGTTGGTGAGTCCTCATAACATCTATTGTATCCAGATGTGAAAATGAAGAAAAAAGGATTCCATGAAAACACACGCACATACACGCACACGAACACAAACACTCCTCTGATAAGAAATCCTGAGAATTAGTGGATACCACCCCAGCAATGCAATAAGAGAGGAAGAGCTGCAGCCCCCCAGCAGCAATTTGTGAACACAGCAGAACTCAGCTCAGGACAAGTTCCCCCATCCTGGCAACACAGGAATGTTTCCAGTTCATTCTGGTCATCCATAAACCCAGGTTTAGTTTTTTTTCCAGAAAAAAGCATAAATGATCTACAAACACGCATTCTTTATTACACAGATGTGTCCAAGAGTCCAATCAACTCCATGGTCAAGAGACGGATTAAATCATAGGATGGCACCAAGACTCTCACAGCTGTGGCCAACAATCTCGCCTTGCAGTTTCATGGACAAGGACACAATGCTCTGGAGTGCTGAACTCCAGGCAGCACTCCACTGCTCTCAGAGCTGGGACCAGCACCTGCAGTGGTTCTCAATCTTCCTAATTCCACATGACCCCTTTAATACAGTTTCTCAGGTTGTGGTGACCCCCAACCATAAAATTATTTTGTTGCTACTTCCTAACTGTAGGGTTGCTACTGTTATAAATGATAATGTTAATATCTGGTATGTGGCCCCAAAGGGGGTGGTGACCCACAGGTTGAGAACCACTAGCTTAGAGCTTTATTGTAAATAAGTGTTAGTGAACACAGCTATGCTCCTGGGTACCGCCCCCTAATGATACCATGCAGCATTGAATGGTGAACTGTTTGCTATCTCTAGCTCTCTATAGAACAAACCTACTGGATCTGGAGACAGCTGGGTGGCAGAGTGAGATAGGGTCTCACTATGTAGCCCTGGCTGGCCTTCAACTCACAGAGATGCATCTGTCTCTGCCTACCAAGTGCTGGGATTATAGGTGTGCACCACCATTTTCAGCCCAAGGTCCATGTTCTGATCCCTAGCAACTCACACCCAAAACCAACCAAACAAAACTTGTCAGCACAAGTATATGTTAGGCTTGGTGATTCACAACTTAAATCCCTGCGCTTGGAAAGCTGAGACGGGAGAACTGCTATGAGTTCAAGACCATCCTGGGTTACATAGTGAGACCCTGTCTCAAAACAGCAAAGTAAAACAAGTGAGTATATAGTACTTGCTAAATAAGAAGACAAGAATTTGTTTCTTAAGACCCTTACTTAGAAAATAAGCAGGTTGCTGGGTGGTGGTGGTGGATGCCCCCGGCACTTGGGAGGCAGAGACAGGTGGATCTCTGAGTTTGAGGTCAGCCTGGTCTACAGAGGGAGTTCTAGGCCAACCAGAGCTGTTACACAGATAAATCTTATCTCTGAAAACAATGAAATCACAAAACAAACAAAAAACCCCAAGTTTTTCACCAGTTGAACGACTAGTAAACAATCTAGCAGCGACAGCAGGACTTCCTGGGGCTCAGTTAGAGGACAGAGATCCAAGTTTTGGCCAGAATTGGGAAGAAGAACGAGCAGTTGATCCTAAAACAGCTCAGAGATCTCTTTCCCCAGACACGCCCAGGGCACCGGAGTCTGTGCAAAACAAGTGCCTACTGACAGTCAGCAGGACTTGTAAGGAATGATTTTCACAAGAAGTTTTCTCAAAGCAATGTAGGAGGCTAAGAAGCCTGCTCATAGCTCTGTTGAGCAGTCTGAGGATCAGGAAAGACAACCGGAGTCCCACCTGTGTCGAGAGGACTTGCTACCCACAAGCCTGTCATCTCCACATCATTTACATGTGCAGACTCCTTTCCCAGTGCTGAGCTGGAGTCTAGGACTGCTAACCTTCACATCTTACTGGGAACTGCTAAGCCAAGTCCCTACCCCAGCCAGGGGAGACAACATGAACTTTGTCTAAAGCTCCCCTGGGCACGCAGCAGGCAGCTTCTGGGCACTATCTCCAATGTGACCCAAATGCACAGTGGCGGCAGCTGCCGCCTTCCTAACTCAGCCTCACATCGACAGCTGCCACCACCTCCAGCCTCACTCTGTCAGCACCACTCTGACTGTGTCATCACATACTGCTCCACCCTACCACTTCTAAGGTGCCCTCAGGCCTGTCTCACTAGCTGGCTACCATTTTCTGGGGAGCAGAATACATGTGCCGGGACAGCACAGGAAATGTATCTCACATGTGCGTCTAACCTGTAGGGCAAATTCATCACTCAAGTGTAAGTTCTAAACTTACTACTTGACATGAGGACATCGGATTTCTTTTAACCGGAGATTCAAACGAATCCTAACAGAGTCCCTACCAATATTCTCACTGTAAGAATTTAGGTTCCTGGAGACACAAAAGTTATGCAGTACTTTTAGCTACTTAATCTTGAAGCAACAGTACTTGATCCTAAACAGGGTGGGACATTTAGGACTTCTAAGCCACCATGCCTTAACTGTTGTGTGGTTACCAGCACAGCTAATTGTGTAGGCCGTCCAGGACTTAAAGACATTGGAAATCTGATACCCAGTCCAGTAAGTCCTGAGTCAAGCCCTGGGTTCTGTGAGAAATGTCTTACCACTGAGGACTGGCAAAAACACTGCTAATGAAATGCATGAGCTGCCTATTGGCTGAGGGAGCCAGCCAGCAAGAAGGGTAATTCTGTCTCCTGTAACAAAAGTGGTTCCTAAACTGTCCAGCTTCCCTAAACTGTAAGACTGAACCTCCAAGCTTCCCAGTCAGACAGTAGCATTTGAAGCCAGGGTAGTCCAAACCACAGCATTTGAACGACACAGAGCTGGATGTCCTTTAGCCAAGAAGAATGAGCGCTCAACCATACACACATCACATGATGGGCAGAAACATGAACAAACTCTGGGAGATACAGCTTAACATCAAGGCAACACCAATGGCTTTACCAATGTTTACATGTCATTCCCATCCCCATGGCAACTGAGGTCCTGATCTTTCTGCCCAAACAATAAATGTTACTTTAGTGTCATTTCTCTGTGCTGGGATTATAGGCACATATCCACACACTTTTCTACGATGAGCATGTATTACTTTAACAACAGAACTTCTTTTGGTACAAAGAATGGGGAAATCTAGGGAACTTTAAAAACCTAGTGTAAACGGACATCATTCACTATACTGTGCATAGCTTCCTAGGCAATTCATTCAAGAACCCAATCTCTCTCACCACCATTCCTCATTTCTGCCAGGTGTTTTTCTTTCCTTTTCAGCTTGAAAACCACCAGCTCACTCAGTGTATACGGAGAACTGGAGGCTGTCATACACAGGTCCCAGTCTGGAGCACTGCTGCGCTGACTGTCACGACTGGCAAGCCTATTAGGGCTGCATTCCCCCGTGGCTCAGGAAGGAGAGCACAGGCCTCAGGTTGACGACTCAGGTCTCTGACTAGACATCTGCTCCCTCCCCCCCACTGCAAAGTTATAGACAGGTGAACGATGCGATGCTTCCTCCAGGAAAGGGGGTCTGGGGAGCTCACACATGACTGGAGATGATCTCTCTGTAGCTCCTAACATTTACCTCTGAAGCAAATTCAGAGCAGTAAGGTCATTGCTGCTCAGGATTCAAAGTGTGGGTGACACACAACCTGTGTGCTCTCAGCTTCCCTGAGAGCCCTAGTCACTGAGCTCTGGCCTGAGATCTACCACACAGTGCTTTCACCTGTTTCCTGAATTCTGACTTCCGGGGCAATGCGCAGGAAAATGCCATTCATTTTTCTAGCAGGCACTCAGGTCAGGTGTGCTCGCCCTGACATTACAGGGAAATGGCAACGAAAAGGCTCTTGACAGCAGTCTTGCCGTAAATTGTTATAAACAGTTGCAGCCTCTAGGTGGAGACAAGAGCTTGAAGGAAGCTAGTGAATTCACTAATTGAGGAACTGTCGATGTACAGCTATCTTCAGTTACGTGGGGGTAGATTTGCAGTTGGACGGAAAATGTAGCTACTTTCTTCATGGAGCTGAAGTCAAATCCAGGTAGAAAGTTTTCCCCAAGTAAAGGACTCAGCTGGATCCAGGGCTGACGGGATAGTGTGGGGCATTCCAGATACAGTGGGGAGCAGCAGCCCTCAGAGCTCAGTAGTCAGCAAGCACTTCTGCTTCAAGGCTGGGTCTTCAGCCAGAGGAGCAGAGCTGTGAAGACAGACTTAATCAGTGAAGACTCCTGGCTCAGTGGCCCACATGGAGACACGAGAAAAGAGATGACAGACCTAAATGGTGATGCAGTGCCGCCTCACGAGCAACGAGACATTCTGCAGGATGTTTTCTGCATCGTTGATGCTCTTGACTACAGTCTAGCATACATCTAACCCCTTCTTCACCAGTCAAGCTTGTTGTGTGAGAGTAGTGCTGTACCAGCACAAAAGCAGCATGTTCTGCTTCCATCTAACCTGACTTTGCTTATCCGCTATGGAGAGGAGACTTTGGGATAACCCCAAAGGCCCATGTTCACACACTATCTAGTAAAAGCTACCAGAGTGGCCTCACCTTGGGAATGTCATACCCTATTTCATACTGCTCCTGGTCCTGTGTAGTAATGAGTGCCACCATTCACCACTATGAGAGCAGGCCAAAATCATAAGAGTAAAGCAAGAAAGGATAAATAACAACTTGGTTTTTAAAGCAGAAATCTACAGCCTACTATAATTTTTTTTAATCCAGCAAAGACTAAACAAAGAAATCCTAATAATTATGTGGAAAATTTTCAACAGCAAGCAATATTCAAAGACCTATATCCTTTCAATGGAATTCAATCAAGACCTTATAAAATCTAACATTGTTATTTTAAATATAATCAATGTTTCTTATCATTTCTCTCCTATCAGACAACCTGAAAGCTGCAACTGAGAAGCATTTCCTCACCTGGTCACAGCATCTACCAAGAACGGTGCTGGAGGGGCAATGAGTGAGAATCCATCTTTAGCAGCACACCCTTCTGTCCCTGCCACAGATGTTCCACATCCTGCGAGCCTGGTGGAGATGGCAGCACTCTGCTGTGGAGAGGTACAACATGTCTTTACATAGAGGCAACAGCACCACCCACCAGCAGCCTCACAGCAGCACCACTGATGGGGCAGGAAAGAGGATTTCATATTCCCAACTGCTTATTTTTTTTGTGTATAGTGTTTTGCCTGCATGTATGTCTGTGCACAAATGTGTGGCTGGTGCCCAGAGGCATCAACTCCCCTAGAACTGGAGTTACAGACATGTGTGAGGCACCATGTGGGTGCTGGAAATCAAACCTCAGTCCTCTGAAGAGCAGTCAGTGCTCTTACCCGCTGAGTCATCTTCCCAGTGCCCAAGCCGCTTATTTATTTTAATTTTATGTGTATGGGTATTTTGCTTACATGTATGTCTGTGTACCACACGTGCACCTGGCCTGGTGTCTGTGGTGTCTGAAAGAGGGAGTCAGATCCCCTGGAACTGGAGTTACAGATGGTTGTGAGCTGCATTGTGGATGCTAGGAACCAAACCTAGGCCTTCTGCAAAAAAAGAGTAAATACTTTTTTTTTCCATGGCAGGGTTTCTCTGTGTAGCTATGGAGCCTGTCCTGGAACACCCTCTGTAGATCAAGTTGGCCTCAAACTCAGAGATTGGCCTGTTTCTGCCTCCTGAGTGCTGGGATTAAAGGCGCGCCACCATCGCCACCACCTGACAAAAGTAAGTACTCTTAACTCCTGAGAAATCTCTCCAGCCCTTTTCACCTCAAATTTATTTTTATTCTGTCTGAATCATTCATCATTTACAGAAAGTTGAGCCACAAATCTGAAGACATTAAATGAACAGAGCTATGACAATGCCCCAGATATTTGTAGGAAAAACAAGAACCTGAGCCTTCAAGCTTCTGAAACTGTAACCAAAAGAATCATAAATAGTATGAACTTACTGGGATAATCCACCGGGGTGTGATCATGGATGATGAAGACACCTAAAACAAATTTCAAAGTCAGTTTCAGAGAAGGCTGACTGATTTCCATAATTACACCCATAATATTTTCTATTGTGAAATGCACTGCAGGGAATACAGTTCCCATGGAGTCTCCTGAGCTAACAGAGCTTTCAGCCCAGGCTTTTATAGCACACACACTACTCAAGAGACTGTCAGGACTCCAAGGATCTCCATAACAGGAAAAATTATAACTCAGGAATGCTGCTGCTACTGTTAGTTAATTTATTACCCCCCTTTAAAGACAGGGTTGTCTAATGAGTGTGTCTCAGAGCTTCAATTACATAAGTTAAATTGGATATGAACCCCAGTATTTCGATACAATTCAGGTTTCTTCTTGCAAAAGGAACCTCTTGGTAGTCTTTTCCTGCTGTTGTTGGTTCTCCTTTTCCAGGCATTAATTTTAGAGGCTATCTCTTATTTATTTCAAGATTATTTCAAGTCTGGTTCAAGATCAGATTTGGGATTATTTCTTCTTCTTTAGTAATGTCTTCTTATTTGGTAGTCTATATCACCTGAGAACATTTTTGTAAATGGGAATTTTGGAGTCTTCCCAAGATACACCTAATTTGACATATACTCAAGTTTGTTCATTAATGATTTACATAACCAACCTATACCGTAGAAAATGCCATCTGCACCCCCTGAATCCTTAGAAAGGCATTTGATTCCCACAGCAGCTCTTGTTCTACAGTTAACAGTCACTGAAGTAGTTTTGTGTTTCTAACTAGATTGGAAGTCCAGCTTTATGGCAATGGTATTGAGTACCGCTGCCTTCCAGGTTAAACAAGGACTGAGATTTTCAATACTATTCATTAATTATGCTCCCACTTTTTTTTTTTGTAAAAAACAACAACAACAACAAAAAACCATGTTCTTATAGTTTTAGACAGGCTTTTGCTATACGCCTGGCTGGCCTGGAACTTGCTCTGTGGATCAGACTGGCCTTGGATTTGCAACAATCTTCCTGAAAGCTGAGATTACATACATAAACCACCAAGCCCAGATTATTATCTTAACTCTGAATTTTAAAAAAAAATTATTTTATGTGTCTGAATGTTTTGCCTACATGTATGTAAGGACATCAAAAGTGTTCAACAAATGCTAAGACCAGAGGAGGGCAATGTATCTCTGGAACTTGAATTAACTGGTGTTGTGAGCCACTACATGGGTGCCAAAAACAGAACCTTGGTCCTCTGCAGGAGTAGCAAGAGCTCTTAACCACAGGGCTCCTTGTCTTAACTCTTCATGCTGGTACAGGCCCCAGGTTTTTGCTCATGCTATTTAATACGGTGTTGAATTATGAATGGGCTCATAGTGACATGTGACTTCCATAAAGCAAAATGCAATTCAAAACAGCAGAATTTGAGCACAGAAAGGCAATGCTAAAGAAGCAAATATAAGCACTTTGTGTTCACGCACAGGTGTGCACACGGCACTGTACATGTGGAGGTCTTAGATTTAGTCTGTTTGAGGCAGAGTTTCTTATGCTCCACAGGTGTGCACACGGCACTGTACGTGTGGAGGTCTTAGATTTAGTCTATCTGTTTGAGGCAGAGTTTCTTATGCTCCACTGTACACATCTGCTACTAGGTCTGAGAGTTTCTGGAAATTCTATTCTGTCTCCTCTATGTGCACTACTGTGTCCAGATTTATCTGAATTTTGGGAACCCAAACTGAGGTTCTTACGATTGTGTAGCAAGTGCTTTATCCAGTGAGCCATTTTGCCAGCCCCCAAAACTCTTATTAAATGAAAAGTTAGTTATTAAATAAGAAAAAAATTGGAACCTACCAGGAACATTTTCAAAACAAGTCTCTACCTTGCTGTTTTGAGGCACATTTACCTGGGGTGTAACTGTGTGGTCCATCAAATTCTCAGTTAGAGAAAGAAGCAAGGCATCCAATTCATCTGTAGCATCCTGTAGAAGAAGAGGCACCAAGAATCCATGAATAATTCGGCACTGCACTGAACTTTCCCACAATCTCTGAATTCCTACTAGCGACCTGGGCCTAGCTAGTGCTAACCCTTTAAGCAGAAATGAATATTTGGAAATGAGCTATCAATGATTCCACTTCAAAGAGGAGACTATACTATAAGTAGAACCAGGAAAAGTAGTGCCCTGTATTTCATGTAGCTATTCCATTTAAATAGACAAGACCTGCTAGAGTAAGTCAAAGACTGGCTTGTGGCAGGTTTGGATAGGACACTCACGGTGTCCCAGTTGAAAGGGAAACAACACCCAGGTGGTGGTGGTGAGATGCAGGCTGTTGAATACAGAAGGGGAGAAAGCTAATGTCCATTCAGCAGTAGAATGTAGTCACATAAGAAAAGAATCAGTTAAGTGTTCAAATGGCAGGGAGGGTTGACAAGAGAGGACTCAAAGAAAGCATATGCTTTTGATATGGTTTTGGAAGCTAAGGACTATAATTGCACCATCTTTTCATAAAAAAACAATTATTTCTCAAGTTGATGAAGAAGTTTGAATATATGTTTTTGGGTTTGATTTAATACTAAAAAAAAACTTAACAGATATGGTCAAACTGGAGGAGCCAGCTCACTGTGGGTGATGCCACCCCTGGCTGGTGGTCCTGGGTTCTATAAGAAAGCAGGCTGAGCAAGCCATGGGGTATGAGCCAGTGAGCAGCATTCATCCATGGCCTCTGCATCAGATCCTGCTCTGACTTCCCTCAGTGATGGATTATGATGTGGAAGTATAAGTTAAATCCTTCCTAAGTTGCTTTTGGTCATAGTGTTTTATTATAGCAATATAAACCCAAAGTAAGGTAAGCCCTAACTGAAATATAATATACATAAATAAGCATAGTAGTATTAAGGGTAACTTATAGTTTTCCCTTTTGTGAAGTACGTAAATTTCTACAACAAATGTACATTGTACAATAAAAATGGCGTAATCACTTGGGTTAAGTTAGAAAGAGCCTGGGTTTCTGTGATTTCTGCACTGGTTAGGGTACAGCAAGTGGACACATAAGGCGGATACTGGGATGAGCTGGTCATGCTGTAATACAATTAGTGAGAAGTGCCTGTTGTGGACCACATTTACTTGCCATCTACTGTTTGAGACAGCAAGAATACAGCAACGAACCAACAGATTATCCAGGAATGCTGGTGTACTACTGCAATCCTAGCCTGGGGAAAGTGAAGCAGAGGACTGAGTGTCAAGGCCAGCCTGGGCTACATAGCAAGGCTGTGACTCAATAAAACAAAACAGAAATCAACCCACCCATACAGCTTGTGTTTTCCTAGGAAAATCAGACTATACATTACGGCAAAATCCTAGATGTGCTGGACAGACACAGCCTTAACTCTTTCATCTCATAATTACTTTATAAATGTCTGTTTGCTTATAATAGTGTGTCTTAGATGTGCTGGACAGACACAGCCTTAACTCTTTCATCTAATAAGTTCTTTATAAATGTCTGTTTGTTTAGAATAGTGTGTCTTAGAGGACAAATGAAAGCACAGCCAAGACTGCCCCAAACTGAAGCCACTCGAGCAGCATGGACACTGGGGAGTCTAGCGGCTCTTGGGAAGTAGGCAAGGAGGCTCAGCTGCTCCTCCCACCTCAATCCCAGTGCCACCGAGAAGTCACCAGATGTCCCTAGTCACATCAGAAGTTAAACTCAACAGTGTCCTGAAAAAGCGGAAAGTCATCTCTTACCTTTAGTACAGATCCACTGTCTGCAGCTGTGGCATGCACCAGAGTGAGGGAATCTTTGCAGAGGGGCACACTGTTTTCATTTAATACAGTACTGGAAGGAAAAATAAAACAGATCACGGAGGACTTGTACAGAGGTGACACTGCTGCAGAACTCTTTGGGAAGAATATGGAAGCCATGGAGAGGAGTAAGATGGGGCAGTTGGAGAAGAACATTCAGCTTGGGTATCCAAGTCAGATACAGATCCAAACAGCACACTAGCTTGCTTACTTCCCAAAACACACTAAAATGAGAGAAGATTTGTCTTTAGAAAAAAAAATTAACCAATTAACAGTACCTCAAACTACTAAGGGTTGCCAGTGTAGTTTAAAACCTTCAGAAAATTCAGAATGATACACTTTAGAAAAGAATGATTATAGCCTAAAATCCAGAGAAATTATGTAAAAAATAAGAAATGAGGAGGATCTACAGACTGACTTTTCTTTCTTTCTTTTTTAATTTGTTATCTTTTTTGAGAGAGGGTCTCACTATCTGCTCTGGCTATCCAGAACTCACTATGTAGACCAGCTGGTCATGAACTAACAGAGATCCATCAGTTTCTGCCTCTCAAGTGCTGGGACTAAAGGTGTGGAGCCACCATGCCTGGCCCTGCTGGTTTGGGTGCCCCCCCCCCAGTCAATGATAAACTAGATGAATGAGAAAGCTCAGTGGATCACAGATCTGATACACAGCCAAGACAAAAGAGAAGAATGAGGGACCAGGCAGAGCCATGGTGACAGCACAGGTTGGAGAGCTGCTGCAGAAGGCAGAGGCAACACCCAGGATGCTCCAGATACTGCAACAGATAAGAGGATGCTGGAGAACCTGTGACCTGCAGGCCTGGCATATGACAGGGGTTCTTATCTCCTGATGACAGTAACAACAATGTTCTGTCATGGCTTTGGTGCCAGGAAGAAAAGAGAAGTCCACAGCTGATTATCAAGTCATTATTCTCACTATCACTGACAAGTGTGGAAACATTAGCATCTGCCCCCATGTATCCCACAAAATGGAGAAAAACAATAAAGGATTGCAAAACTCAACGCATGACAATGAATCGAAGGGATTCCTGTTGTAGTCGCAGGACTAGGGTAAAAACAAAGAAATGTAAGAAAGAAAAGTTATGAGACACAAAAGTGATTAAAATGTCCCAACAAACAAATACTGAATATTCAAAATCAAAAGCCTTATGATTTTCTAGAACCCACCCTGAATATTAACAATAAAAGTGGGCCTACACTAAGTCTAGGAATAATGCAAATACAGAAAGCCAACAGCAAATAGCAAAACCTAAGAGTTACAAGACAGAAAATCAATTTGTGCTTCTGAACAAGGAAATGACTCAGAAAAAGAACCAACCAAGCACTGAATTTTAAAGTATGGACTATATTTTAAAAGGACTTCTCCGAACTCTCCAGGAGAGCGGACTCCTGTGGAGCTTGCTGTGCTGCCCGCATGGGAAGCAGATGAAAGGCCTCCCCGCTACCAGTACATGTGTCAACCCAGCATTCCACATAAGCAGTCCTTACATACTACTGAGTAGGGAAGGTCACTGAAAGTAAGAATGAACAACCCTGGTAGACCTATGAAATGGCAGGTAAAATGAAGAAACAAAAGGTAAGTTTCCCACCGGGCGATGGTGGAGCATACCTTTAATCCCAGCACTAGGGAGGCAGAGGCAGGCAGATCTCTGTGAATTTGAGACCAGTCTGGTCTACAAGAGCTAGTTCCAGGACAGCCTCCAAAGCCACAGAGAAACCCGGTCTCAAAAACCACTCCCCAAAAAAGGTAAGTTTTCCAAATTCACAAACAGAAAAACATAAAACTGAAGGACACACATATTTTATCTTACTGATGCAAGGTTTAAAAACCAATATACGGTTGTTAAAAATTTATGTACATGATAAAGGTAATAAAAATATAACAAGAACCTGAAAAAGGATTGGGAAAATGGCTCAGTGGTTAAGAGTGCTTATTAAACACACACCTGAGTTCAAAACCTTGGGTGTAGCCCTACAAATAACATGTAACCCCAACACTGTAGGTGGCAGAAACAGGAGGGTCACTTGGGCTTGGTGACTGCTAGCACTGCACCTGACTCAGCGTCAGGCCCTCACGGGAAGCAGACGGTGACAGCACAGGGCACTGAAGCTCTCCTCTGGCCCTGCACCACACAGCTTCTTGCAGGCTGGGGTTACAGGCTTGTACTTGTTTTGTTTTAATCTGCCTATGAATTTCCTAGAAAATGATGCAAGAAACATGTGTACTTTGTCTAGTTTAGAACTTATAGAACACTGAGATGAACCTACAAAGATATTCCTAGGAAATACTGTAAGCCACCTGCTGTTCAGGGCAAACAAACAAACAAAAATCTCTAACAAAACACACCAGAAAACAAAAACACTACCAACCATCAAGAAGCCAATACTATGGAAATACAAGTGAGGAGTGACAAAGTCACAAAGCAAGAAATTCTGGGGGAAAAAAGACCTTTGAGTGTCCACACGAAATGGAGGGATTTAAAAATGATACACAAGGTGGTGGTGCACGCCTTTAAACCCAGCACTTGGGAAGCAGAGGCAGGTGGATCTCTGTGAGTTTGAGGCCAGCCTGGTCTATAAAGTGAGTTCCAGGACAGCCAGGGCTACACAGGGAAACCCTGTCTTGAAAAACTAAGGAAAAAGAAAAAAAGAAAATGATGCAGGGCAGGACTTTGGGTCTCCTTCTGTGCATGCAAGGTAGCACACCACCACTGAGCAAGGCAATCTACTAAGTACAGCAAACCATCTGAACACATAGCTAACTATAAAGACTTTTTGAGAGCATTTTCTCTATTAAAAAGTTTCATTAGGCCGGGCGTTGGTGGTGCACGCCTTTAATCCCAGCACTCGGGAGGCAGAGGCAGGCGGATCTCTGTGAGTTCGAGGCCAGCCTGGTCTACAGAGCGAGTTCCAGGACAGCCTCCAAAAGCCACAGAGAAACCCTGTCTCGAAAAACCAAAAAAAAAAAGTTTCATTAATACTAGTTTACATTTTTAAAAAGTATTGTGTCTGTGTAGGCAATATTGTGCCAAGGCACAGGTGCATGTGTGGAGACTAGAGGGCAATCTGTGGGAGTGTGTTCTCTCCTCCTACAACCTGGGTCCAGGGATTAAATTCAGGTTGTCACGCTTGGCCACAAGTGCATCTATCCATTGAGCCATCTCCCTGGCCCTAAAGATTTATTTAGTTTTATTTTATGTGTATTAGTATTTTGCCTGCATGTATGTACAAACATCATGTATGTGCCTGATGCCCACACAGGCCAGAAGAGTGTGTTGGGTCTCTTTAAAGTATAGTTATGCTGTGCAATAATGGCCCACACCTTTAATCCCAGCACTAAGGAGGCAAAGGCAGGTGGATGTGGATTTCTGAGTTCAAGACCAGTCTGTCTACAGAGTGAATTCCAGGACAACCAGGGCTACACAGAGAAACCCTTTCTTGAAAAAGCAAAACAAAACAGCAACCAGAGAGGGGGGAGGAAGAAGGAAACTGCTACAGTTATAAATGGTTATGAGCTGGCTGTGGGTGCCGGGAATGAACCTAGGTCCTCTGAAAAGTATAGAGCGCTCTTAACTGATGAGCCAGCTCTCCAGCCCCATTTCCCTCTATTTCTTCATTTTCTTTTTCTCTTATGTCTTGGCTCCAGCCACAGGACACCTCTGTCAAATCACTAGCTGAGTTCTAAATTAGGGCAGCAGCATCAGAGGCTGCAGCTTACAGAGACGTCTCCAAATGTTACTTTACACAGCCACAGTTATTATACAATCACACAGCAAGTACAACCAAGAAAGCCCAAGGGAGCGAAGACTCTCCTGCTGAGAATTACATCATCAGGATCAAAATGTTCACTGTTCAAATTCAATGTGACAGAGTGCAGCTCATTCACAAGGAAGACTATAGCAGAATCTCCCTGAGACAGCACAGACAACGGCACTTACTGGGCAAAGGGCTCAACTGGGGCAAATACTCCCTGAAAGCAAGAACTACAGTAGATCAGGACACTGTGACAACAGGCATAAAATGGACCAAATGGAAGATTTAGAGCTAGAAAGTGGGACTTTTTTTTCTTCCAGAAAGGGTTTCTTTGTATTGTTTTGGAGGCTGTCCTGGAACTAGCTCTTGTAGACCAGGCTGGTCCCGAACTTTGAGATCCGCCCGCCTCTGCCTCCTGAGTGCTGGGATTAAAGGTGTGCGTCACCACCACCTGGCGAAAGTAGGACTTTTTTATTTAAAATTTGCTACAGGGATTTCAACAGCAGATTTAGTAGAATTTACAGAAGAATCAGTGATCAACAGAGTTTATGCAAAATCAGGAGCAGAACCCAAACACTGAAAAAACAAACAGAGCAGAAAGAACTCCATATTCTTTGTCTTATTGCATCCTACTTTAAGGAGCACTTCATCATACCTCCACTCCATACGTACCAGATTCCTCTACCTCCCACAATCCCTCTCGTCTGTTTTTCCTAGCTCATCTCTATTCCTCTCTGCCAATCACTAACTGGCAGAATTTTCTACCAGGGACCTCACAGATACTACACTTGCCTAAGATTATGAGATGGCAACAGTAATCAAAGAATGGATCATCTACCCAAAGATAAGACCCAATATCAAAACTTAGAAACACCTCAATCATAATTCAGATACCTAGACCTCAATGCAAAACAAGCACAAATAGCCAAGACAATGTCACCACCCAAGCCTAGTAATGTTACTACAGTACACCCTGAGAGTTCAATATAGCTGAAGCACAAGGCAAAGACTTCAAAATAGCAAGGATGACTGTGTTTAAGGACCTTAAAAAATCCATTAATTAAGTCCACGAAAACACAAAGAAACAGTATATGAAAGAAGAAAACAATTCAAGACATGAAAGTAGAAATAGAATTACTAAAGAAAAACCAAACTGAAAAAAATGGAAATGAAAACTTTAGGATGTCAAATAAAAACTTCAGCGGTAAGCCTCACTAATGAAGTACAAGACATGGAAAAGAGAATCTCGGTGCTGAAGTC